GCTTCAGGGATGTTTCAGAAAGAAGCAGATTATGACCACGTAGTCAGAGATCAGTTCCCCCACTGAGGTCAGAGTTAAAACAAAACGGCTGAACCTGGTTATGATTCAATGGTTTAGTTTGCCCTTGCACATAAACCTTAAAATTAAAGATTGACACAAAAAGTGGAGTTCAGCTTAAAGAGGCATTTTGGATGAGGAGGGTAAACCAACTGAATCTGTAAGAATTGAGACTGTGACCTCCTGCATGATGAGATGCATCCTCAGTGTGCTTCAGCGATGCTGCCATGTACAGCTGGTGCAGGAGACTGTATGCAGATCTGGGTTGTTTCCTCATCTGCTCCTCGTCGCAGTGGCCTCTGTGTGCAGGAAAGCCACACACTGCCTCAGAAGCCATGAGGGTCCCAGGAAGCTGAGGAGACATGTCTCAGGTTCCCAGTTTGTATGTGAGTGATCCCTCACTGGGTGTATCCAGTGAGGGATAAAATTAGGCCAGTCCTGCCTTATACTGCTGACAGAGCTGGGGAGGCCAAAAAAAGCCTGGCAGAGCCAAGCCAGCAGTGGAGGACTGAAGGAAGCGAGGGGAGATCGCCGCCGAAATGGCCTCCAAACGTAAGGAAATAACAAACGACAGCTAAAAGCTTGGAGAATCAATGGAGAGAAAGGATAGGTTCCCCTTCTCTCCTTTAGACCCAGGTTCTGGTTAAAGTCTGAGTCCAGTTTTTCTTTAGTGGACAGACTGGGACGGTTTATGTTTATGAGGAAATAATTGACAATTGTTGATTTTATGCTTTAGAGTAAAGAGTTATGTGCATGAAATGACTTGATGGTGAATAGGGGTGGGTATTATATTGTTTATTGTTTTGATTAATCTTCTAAACGATAAATTAGGATTAATGGAGTTTTAAAGCTCAAAGAAATGGTCAGAAATTGTCTTTTTTCATAACAGCATTAACAAACGTATACATATATCTAAATGCAGTTTATTTCTAAAAATCGCACTTCTTTATGATACTTGTTGTATGATACTGTTTGAAATGGAAAAAATGTCCAAGAGATCAGTGTTTGTGATTATGGAGCTATGATTGCTATGGCATGCAGTCACATCCATCAGTGACCAAAGAAAGGCTGCAGAGAAGTAATGAATCATTCTCACTTTTTATACAGAAATGACTAACTCTAATTTCATGCTATTTAGTTCTCTTTGAAATAATTTTAATGCCATCAACAAATACCCATGACAAGAGAGAAACTATATAAAAATGGATGTATTCTAAAGAACCTTGAGAAACTTTTAAGACCTAGCACTACAAATGAAATATAACTTAACTGGATATTAACTTAACTGAATATTAGAAAATATTGGATTAGATCTCTAACTAAAGAATAATTTAATCAATTAATCGATTACTTAAATAGTTGCCGATTATTTCAACAATCGATTAATCTGATAATTGTTTCAGCCCTTACAGTAAGTGGATACAAAAACATACAGATCATGGTACATCTGGTACAAATGATTCATTTTTTTTAAAGAAAAGATGATTAATGCATGCGTCTCAGTTGGTTTGCTTTCAATTCCAGTTCCAACTCTCAAAATGTTTCAGTTCATGACATTTATCTCAGATACCTCTTTCTTAGGGTATTAGATTTTGTTAGCATTTGAGCCATTAGTGTGCTAGATTTATTTTCCACAGATTTAGCTATTTGTGAATCTGGAAACATTACCTGGAACAATTCAGATTGACCTTGATTAGAAGCGTGTGAGTGGTGATGCACGGCTGTGTTCAGACACAACAGCATCTTCACATGCAGTGTTGCATTGGATCCAAATATTTTTTGAAGACAGTCTGATTTTCTGACGATAGTGGTGGCAGTGCTCCAGCTGGTGCTGTGCTGTTTGTGGCTGCTAGTAGGGCTGGGCGATATGACCTCAAGTCAATATCATGATAAATTGGGCGGTTTTACCTCGATAACAATAAATGCACCATAAATGCTCCGGCTCTTCTATGTGAAAATAAAAGCATGTGCAGGAAATGCAACTGATCTATTTATAATTTATTTACTGAATAAATCACTTTACATATTATTTTTAATTAAATATAAACATTTTGTACCCCATTCAGGTTTAGACATTCAGTAATATCTCATTGAACAGGAGAAAATATTTCCTCTTAAACAAACATTTTTTGCTCAATGATAATGAAGCCTTTTGCACAACTTTGAGCTCAATAGCATGGCTGTGCTATAGGTGGTGCAGGTTGGATGTGTAACTTTGGGTTGTCCCAACAGTTTTCAGACAAACTTTGTATTTCGTTTTTTTTTTTTTGCGCAACATCTATGGTGTAATTTTGATGCCGCTGTAATGAGCGTGCACTGAAAACAAGGTGCATCTTTTAAACTTGCACACCCTTGCTCAAAACCGCTCTGCCGCTCGCTCGACTCTGACAACCCGCCCTCAACTTCTTCTCTGCCCGCTCAGCTTCACCTCTGTTCTCGCTCGGCTCCACAGGATTAACTGATGTAATTTTGTTAATGGCTGTGTTAGATGCTTGAGAGAGCTCTCCATGCAAAGCATTCTGGGATATATCTGCCTCTTCTGAGGACTTTCTCTTCTTCTTAATACACTTCGTAGACACTTTTTCTCCTATGACACTCAGCCATTTTCAAAGAACCGCGCTGAGAAAGGTTAGCTTCAATGATTGTCTGAAATCGTCACCAGATATACGCCTGAAAGTGCACATGTGCACACAAAGATAGCTAACAGGATGCACACGTAGGACGGCCTGACTTAAACATTATTATCAAAATGATTGACAATTAGGAGGACCACTTATTTAGATAATCCACCCGGAAATAAAAGGGCATCCTCTATACCTTTAAGAGTTAAACAGAAGAGAAGACATGGCTTTATCTGTCAATTGTCCCCAAACACAGGAAATTCCAACAGCACTTAAATGCCTAATTGGACTCAAGGGGAAATAACGTGAAATTTAAGCTTTCCAAAGGTCCTTAAATGCATCATTAGTGAAGGCAAGGCAAGGCAAATTTATTTGTATAGCACAATTCAGTACAAAGACATTGAAAAGTGCTTTACATGATTAAAAAATAGGAAAATAAAACAGAATCAAAGCAAGTACGAAAAAAATAAAATAAGATAAAAAATGCAGAAACAAAAAAGAATATTAAAAACAGTTGGACTAAAGTAAATAAAACAGCAACTAATGATGTTTCAGTTGAACTGTTTAACTAGAAGAGTCAAAAGCAATCCTAAACAAATGTGTTTTTAGCCTTGATTTAAAGGAACTCAGGCTTTCCGCACTTTTACAGTTTTCTGGAAGTTTGTTCCAGATAAGTGGAGCATAGGAACTAAATGCTGCTTCTCCATGTTTAGTTCTGGTTCTAGGTATGCAGAGCAGGCTGGAGCCAGAAGACCTGAGTGGTCTGGAGGGTTGATAAACTGATAGCAAGTCTGTGATGTATTTAGGTGCTAAGCCATTCAGAGCTTTATAGAATAACAGAAGGATTTCAA